GCGCAGAGGATGCCGGCCGCACCGGCGGAAGTGCCGTCGCGGTGGCGCTCTAGCCGTGCTCTATGGTATACAGGGTGGGAGGTCTCAAAGCTGGTAGGGCGGGCGGACCGGTCGCACCACCGATTTCGGGCTCAGATTTAAGCCCTCCGGGGCAGGAGGCTCTCGTCGCCCCGGAGGGGGCTCAGGAGGGGTTCTGCAAGCCAGGCCCCAACCCCATAGAAGCCGGGCTGCACTCTGGGCCTGGGGCTCCCCTCAGCACCCCAGGGCTGTGCTGGCAGCCCTGAGGAGGTACTGCTGGAGCTAAACCTGGTATCTGCTCCCTTTCCCAAGGGAATACTCACTGTTAAGGTCTCCGAGGTCCTCTGGGCTCCTTGGATGTGAGGACAAAGTCTCGTCTCAGGTACAGGCACTAAATGACTTATCTAAGCAGAAAAATCTGCTTCAGCCCATCTGGCAGAGCTCTGTGCTGACCTTTGCAGCCCCGACGAGCACACTTTATATTGTGGGGAAGGCAAAACCAGCATTAATGTCACGGCCAGGATTGCCCTGCATCACTTTGTTTGTCCTGGAGGGAGAGGTTTTTCCCAGCTGCGTTCAAAACTGCTGTGCAAGGTCATCATCCCTTAGCCTGTGCTGTCCTGAATGGGAGTAGGGAAGAAGGGGGAGGTTGTGATGGGCTTAATTTAGGACATGGAGGATGTACGCCTCTGTTACTCAGTAGCATCTCTGCGCTGCCAGGTTACTCTGGTGCGTGGGACCGGGTGTGTGACGGCAGTGGTGCCTCTGGCAATGAGTCCTGTCAGAAACATTTCACGTTTAGCTGGGAGCTGTGGCGTTGCCGGCAGTCACCTTCTGCTGAACACTTCATTAAAGATTGCCTCTCTCCAGCCTTTGTTAAGATGCAGCATCCTCAATGCAAGCAAGATCCAAAAACATCAGTGTACCCTCCATATGCCACTGCTGCACCTCCAGTGCCAGAATGGAAAGTTTAGCCTCCCTTCACCATGCCTGGTGACATGTATTTGTCTCTGTGGTATGGATCCATCCCCACATCTCTCTCCATGGTCACTCAAGACCAGCCCCACAGTTATTTACCTGGTGTACAAGCCAGGAGAGTCCCCCTTTCACCTCCCCACTCACGTGGGTTTTTCTCCTGCAGCAGGATCAGGCTGCAGAGCTCAGCATGGATTCCCCATCACAGCTGTAGCCCCGCCTAGACTGGCCACAAGCGCAGTGAAATGGGCTGCAGGGTCATCTGCTGCAGCCGGATGAGGTAAAGTTTCACATCATAGTGCCCGTGCTAGCAGGGTAAGGGGAGCCATGGCACAGCCCTCACCCCTTCACTTGTGGGAACAGACCCGACACCTCTCCTTTGATTTGCTGCCACCAAAGCCATGTGTGATCCAGGCTGGGTTGCTGGTGCCTCTCCAGGTCCCTTCTGTTCCCTGCAGGTCCTTCATCTGTGCCTTACCCTGACAGGGGCTATTCCAGCTCCACTCCCACATCCCCACTTGTTCCCCGATGGCAGCGCAGGGCTAGGCGAGAGCTAACAGCATCAGCTGCCTGGATTCACTCTGAGAAGGCAGCGCAGTCGGGCATGTGGTGCTAATCCAGCCTTCAGGCTGGTGATAACCCTGCAGCTTGAGATGAGCCAGCAGCATCTGTTCGCCAGGCAGCCCAGATCCCCCCTCACAGGCACTGCAGGCCGGGCTCTCCTCAGCTGCACATGTCCATGCGCATTTACTGATGGCCGCTGCTGCCCTGCGAGGCACGTTCATTTGACAGCGGTCACGGCATCCACGCTGTGGCTGTTCACTTGTCACAAGTTGCTGGCTTTGTCCTTCAAAAGGGAGAAGCTGTGGAGAAAACCAGGAGAGGGAAGGCTATTTTCGGGATGTAGGAAGTTGGCTTCTTCTCAAAGACCCTTCTGCACCCAGCAGAGAAAGAAAGGGCAGCTCCTGAGGCAGCAGAGACACCCCAGGGGACGGGGACAGCAGGGACAGGCCCCCATAAGGACACCCTGGCAAAGGCAGCAGCAGCTGTGGGGACAAACCCCAGAGCAGCCCCCAAGCAGGGGGAAGCAAGTGGAAAACATGACCCAAGGGTAGAGAGGGAGATACAGGGCTATGGGGACCTTGGCACAGTACCTCCATAGGGTACTCAGCTTCCCACCAGCTCCTTCCTAAGCCCCTGGGGGAGGGCCTTGCTACTGCCCTCCTCTTTTAAAGCCCTCCCCTCCTGGCCTGCCATGCAATTCAGGTGTGAAGGGCAGGGCTGTTCAACCCTTCCAACCTGGCAGCCTCAACCCACCATCCCCAGGCTGATGCTGAAGTTGCTTTGCGTCCCCTCAGCCTCTGCTTTGCCCTCAGGGTCCCCCAGCACCATCCTCTGGTCCTCATTCCTGTGGGATGCTCAGAGCCATCCTGACCACTGATCCTGATCCTGCCTGTGTTATCACCTCCTCTGGCTTTCCCAGCTGCTGAGGCTGAGATGCAACGAATTTGTGTGTTCTGCTACAGGGCAGTCATGGGCACAACAGACCCCAGGTAGCTGTGGTCGCCTTCGAGGGGCTCAAAAACACGCCCTACCAAAAAATCACCCTGTTCTCGTGCTTCTCTGTTGAGATTGCCCCTGTGGTGCCACTGGCTTCATCCCTGCAGGGAGACCCAGCAGCCTTGCAGGGATGGCCCCATGGTCTGCACCAGAGCTGCAGGAATGGGATCAGCCCCCGAGGAGCCTGGGCAGGGCAGGGGGCAGAAATCACGGCCATTATCACTGCCACAGCCAACCTTTCTCCTGGGAAAGGGAGCGACTGTGATTTCTCTGAGATCACACCTGGTTTTACAGCCGGGCAAAGGAGAAGGAAGAAGCGTTTTTGTTTACTTAGAGACTAATTTGTATCCCAGCTCCTGCCTTGTATGGAGGCAGCAGAAACCTCCCCCACAGCGCACTAAGAGTGAGGCTTTACAGCCTTTTATTATTTCATTATCGGGCCGGGCAGGATTAGGAGGGCGGGTCAGGGAACAGCGCCGGCTTTAAGCAGGTTTAGCTCCTTTGAAAAGGCTTATCCGGGCTCAGTCTCACTCGCTGCTGCGAAGCAGTCATTTGCTGAGCAGAGGGGGTTGAGTAATGCTGGGGGGAGGAAATGGGGGGTTGTGTGTTTTTAATAGCAAAAAATGGTAAAGCCCAGCGGGGAAAACCTGGGAGGTTCCTTCACCAGGAACTGGCCTTTTTTTGCTGAATTTCAGCTCCCAGGGAGCGCAGTTTCTCAGCTCTGCCAAATCTGCATCGCTCCCTGGAGAAAACCAGAGCCCCTGTGCATGCTGGGGGACTTTGGGGTGCTTTATGCACGGCTCCGGGGCGCAACAGCCATTGCAGGCAGCTCCCTGCAGAGCTGGGTGAAGCTTTGCCCCTTCTTTTACCGAGTTTCTCCCCAGAGCCTGGGTGTGGTGGCTGGAGAGCGCTGATCCCAGCCCGACAAGGAAAGAGGAGCTGTGGGAACAGTGGCAGCAAATCCCTCCTCCTCTTCTTCTTCTTCTTCTTCCCAGGCCAGAAATGGGGGGCTGTGGTGGGACACTGTGTCCCCCATATGTAATTTTGCCCCGAGGATGCTGCCCGCAGGCACCGAGCATCGTGGTGGGGATCCCGCTTATCCTGGGATCGGGATGACCCCTCACAGCCCGGCCAGGTGGTTCTCATTGCAGCCTCTGACTCATCTCCCAAAAATGCCTGAGCTCACATCATGGCAGGAAACCGCTATGGGGAAGTGGTGAAAACCCTGCAACGGCCTGAAATTCATCTTCTCCCAGCAAAGGGGGAGATCAAAACATCAGCATTTGGACCTCAATCCCTCTGACGCCAGGGCTAAGCACTGGGGTGACTTTTCGGCTAAGCAAGCACTGTGTGTGGTTACTCCAGACTCGGCAGCTCCTTGCGGGGTGTTTGGGAGTGTTTCCATTGAGGAGGCCTGACCTCAGAAACATTTCTGAGTAATTCATCAGCAGGGAGGAATGAGCCCCACTTGCCAGCGCTGCTCAGGGCTTCCTGGCAAGCCCCGTGGTCCTGGGCTGTGCCAGTGGCTGCTGAGAGCTCAGCTGAGGGCCAGGGCTGGGGAACAGCCCATGGCGGCTTGCAGAGCCTGGCTGTGATTTAGGAACTGCCGTAACCCCCAGCTCCTCTGAGGCTGAGAAACCTCTAGGGCCAAGCCCTGGGCCCCATGTGATGCTGA